CTAAACCCTAAACCCTAAACCCTAAACCCTAAACCCTAAACCCTAAACCCTAAACCCTAAACCCTAAACCCTAAACCCTAAACCCTAAACCCTAAACCCTAAACCCTAAACCCTAAACCCTACCATTGCAATGCGAGATTTTGATTTGATTCCTCCAAATTTAGGGTAAATTGATTTCGGTTTAAGACATCCGTATTTTTGTGGAAGAATCACCCGAAAATCTTATGTTATGTTGTTGCAAATAAATTTGGGATTTTGCAAAATTAGTATTTCGTTCCAAGATATCAGGTTTAATGACAAATCAAATTTTGTTTTTCCTAATTCATGAAATGATTAGAGGTTTATAGAGATAAATCCAACAAAATGTAAGTTTGATAAAAGTTTTGGGGCTTCTAAATATTAATCATTTAACTTTGCACGATTTATTTAGTGTGTATTTAATGCTTATATGTAGCCCTAAGGAATATGTATAGCATTTTCCTACTAAAATACACAAGTATTAAAAAAAAATTAACTTGTATTTTTCAAAAAAAAAATAATAGTAAAAAAATTGAGTTGAAATTTAGAGGTTTTTAGCACGGAATACCAAAAAAATGCAATCTTGTTAAAAGTAAGGGGTTTCAATTTGATTGTCACATCCAACTTTAGTAATGAAAGAAACTCAGTATCAAGCTAGCTAGCGTAGCCGTACGAGAATCAGCATTAAGTGTAACTGTGTAATTGTGTGATAACAAGTGAGAGAGATAAAAAAAATATTGATTAGCAACAAGATGACCAAATAAAAGAAAAAGGATTAATATTCTTTCAATCCAACAATATATGGTAAGCTAATCAATGATAGTCCCCTTTTATCTCAAAAATTTAGATTAATTGCTATTCAAATTATACATATTAACCAACAAACATCCATTTTTTGTTTCCTGTTTAATAATTTTAGGGGGGCTCCATCAGAGATGGTGTTAGTTACGCGACCTCTTGTGATGAGGAGATCTTCTTGGTCGTCGGGATTTCAGAATGATTGGTTTGATCGTCCGAAGTAAGGGTAGTAATGTCAATAGATTTGGTGGCGGTGGTGGTGGCAGTGTCGATGACAATAGGCAATTCGGGTAGCGTCTTGCCTTTCTCATCAGGTGTTCGGATATCCTTGCTTTTCCCCCATACCACCGTGTACAGGCCTATGACTATGACCAAAGCTCCTATGATGCTGCACCAAAAAAATTTCTATTAGCTTTAACGTTATTACTATCTCTGTGAGATAAAAAAAACAAATAAATAAATAAAAAATTCAAAGTTGCAGATTTGAAATTACTTATAAATCACGCAACTACGCAAGCACATGCAATCAAAGATCCTATGATACTGCTCCATTTTCATTTATGTGTACAATGCATAATAATGATATCAATTTTCATTATAAGGTCATGGATATACAAAATGGTAGGCTTAAAAAAAATAGTAAATAAGAAAAATAGTTAATGTTACCAAATACCTTTTGTGGCCCAGCGAGTTTTAGAAAGGAAGTCTATTTGGCTTGAAGTTTTTTTTGCTCTATTATTTTGTTATTGGGCAATGTCATGTTCCATAGCAAACTACCTCTCTCTATAGTGGGCTTTAGCTTTATTTTTAATGAGCCAAGCTAGGTTCCAAGTAAGCATTACTTAATTCTAGTGTTTTTCTAAAATTTAAAAGTGATGGGTCCAAAAATAGCTTTTATATTTGCTTTAATTTGATGAGTAAAGTAAATGAAGTCATTTAATTTGACATTACCTGCCTAAATGAAGTATCTCATGCAATATAATGGATCCTAAAGCAGCGGTGATGATCATGCAAAGAGGACTGAAAACCGTCACAAAAACGGGTCCTCTTTCCTTGTTAACAACTCCTTGCACATAATAAGCAATCCCTGAGCATATCACTCCCTGCATTATATTATTGATCAGTCATAAATACCAAATTTAATTTAATTATTACCATCAAGTTTTCTATAAAATGAATGTTGATCAACTAATAGAGTAATATAAAAGATTACCGTGTAAACAGAGGCAAGAAGTCTGGAGTCCCAGCCAAGTGCCCAAGCTTTCATGTCCCTTACCATGACAAGTGATACGACTGCTCCTTCTAATGATCCCATGAAGCATATCCATGCTGTCAAAGATAGTTGTGACGGGTACTCCTTCAGAGTAAATGACTGTTTGTATGTAACCCGACCACCAAGGCCATCAAAATTAATTAAAATTTAGAGATTAATCGTATTTTATAAATAAATATCTGCATAATTAAATTAGTTGTGAGGGACCTTACTTGGAGGATGAAGAAAGCGGCCCATCCCAAGCAGCTGCTAAGGACGCATATGGTGCCAATAATCCAATGTTGAGTTGATGGAGTAGCAGCAGCAACAGCAGTGGCGGAGTGAAGGTGGTCAATTCCGTGTCTTCCAAAAAGATTGATGATTGGTCCTCTGTAAAGGGTCATTACCATTGCCCCTGATACAGTCACTATGGTTCCTATGATCTTGGCTTGGCTTGGTAACTTCCTTATGTCAACCTTCTCCAGCCTATAATCATGGTCATTCCACATTTAACTATTTTAACCTTTGTACTTTATTTGGTAGTTGAAATTAATCAAAATAACTGCTTAATTTATGACCAACACTCCAACAGCAAAATTAAGGGTATCTGCTTTAATAAAATAATTTTTTAAACTTTTTACTAATACTATTTAAAGATAGAGCTACCAAATTGTTGTATCCCGCATCCAAGAAAAAAAAAATGATTAAAGTGCATTTACAAATATAAATCCAAGCATGCATTCAAAAAATTACAAATGAGTAGATTTTTTTATTTAGTATATATTTTTTTAGTTCTTATTCGTTTATATTAACCTTATTTCAAATTTCAGGCACGCACATTAAATTTTATCGTATTCGATCACCAAATATCTTAGCCATGATTGAAAATACAAAGGCCTTTACAAGAGAGATGGGTTAGAGGTTTTGTCATTTCATGGTTTCATATAAAGTTAAATAAAGTGTCTCCCGATAAAATTGTTGATACTAAAAAAAGTCATTTTGTTGAAACCACATCACGCGCACTAAAGACATTTACGAAAATATGCAACCCATTGCAAATAAGCTATTTAGTCCATGTGTTAGTACAATACGAAATATATATGGAGTATAGTAATATCTACTCGTATTGAACAGTGGCGGATCTTGGCCAAAAATATTAGAGGGGCCGAGATTTAAATATTTAACCTTTTACTCAAAACTAATCACTATGTCCTAATATTTTATAAGTAAATATAGGTTATGTAAGTTCATTAACTGATTAATTATAATAGTTTACGGGGGCAAGCCCTGAATTGCCCCAGTGAAAGGTCCCCCTCTAGTATTGGAAAAAAAAAAAATTCATCCATATACAACTTTTCTTTTACTTGCAATATAACTTTGACTTTGTTAGAATTATAATTTTTATACGTACCAAGAATAGAGAAGGCTTATGTATTACGTATATTTATACTTTACCTAAATCTCTTCTTCAAAGTGGAGTGTTACAAATCTAAACCTATATCTATCTATACTTAGTAATTAAAAACACTAACCATCATCCTCAACATAATATCTTTTACAATTATATTTAATTTTCACCCTTTCTTTTCCTTTATAAACTATTCATTTTTCAATAAAAAAACATATTATAAAATAAAAAAATTATATTATATATCTATAAACAATTCGTGCATTGCACGGACCAGAAGACTAGTTAAAGAAAATAAAGGGAACATATTTCTTGGTTTTTTTTTCAATTTATTATTCTTTATTTAATCCTATGTAGTTTGTCAAATCAAACGCAGTCACGTAAGACATAAATCTCGGAGTACTTGTACAGTTATGCTACGGAGTATATAATAAACATATCAATATCCAACTTCAGAATTTTAAAAAAAAAAAAAAAAAAAAATTGCTTCATTAGTTGTCAAGTACGTCGTACCTGAAAATTGTTGCCATGATGAAGGTAATTGCTGGGAGGATGTTGACACTGGCTGATGTAAGTGTTGCCGATGTATCTTTCAATCCCACATAGTATAGATTTTGATCTAGCACAGGCCTGAAATTTGTGAATAATATAAAACAATTTTATATATGGGATCTTATTTGTTTTAATGTGTAGTTTAATTAAAAGATAGTTTATTGATATTAATTGAAAATTCTATTGGGAAAGCTAGCTAGCTAGCTAGTGAATTTAGAGAGCTATACTCGAGAAAAGCCAGCAACATAATCTTGAGAAAGATTGAGAGGGTCATCTTGGGCCTAGTTTTCCTGCACAAGTTAAAACACGTAATTAGTTAAAATTGTATCATAAAAAATGATGCTAAAAATGAAATTAATTATACTTGTATATGTACTACCTTTGTTTCATATATTTATAACTATTAACGTTAAATCGTTGCAAATAATATAAAATGAAGGTAGTATTTAAAAAAAAAAAAAGAGGTTGTAGATACCTTTCAAAAATAAGGGCAAAAGGAGCAATGGCAAGGGTGGCAAAAACATGACGGTAGACAGAGAGGATGAAATGGTTCATCCCATGTTTCAAACAAACCGCTGTTACTATGTACATCCCAGAATACCCAAATTGGAGTGAAATTATAGCCAAGTATGCCTTGATCTTTGTAATACTTGCGGCGATTGACTTGATTCCCATTTTGTAATATTGCCAAATTATAAAACCCTCTCTTTACTTCCTCAATATAGGTATGTATTCTTAAGCTCTAATTAACTGGTTTCTCTCTTATAGTAGCTTGTAGTAAGTAAGAGAGAAGACAAGACAAGTAAGCAGGGGATGAGGAGCACCAAATGTAGAAATGAGCCTTCTTATACACGAGAAAAGTAGACTCACTTGGTGGGATGTGAATCCCCAATACACGTATGCATGTTCCTTAATGCATTATGCATGCATCTTCAATTCATCTCATTTCTGATTTTAATTTAGATTCCCTTATCCGTATTCATTTTAATTTCCTATTTCAGAATACTATTCCATTAATCATTTCCCTACTCCTTATTTACTTTAAAATCTACTGACTAGCTTAGCCTTTTATACATGTAATGCATGCAAAAGTTATAATAAAGATAAACATAATTTATCAAAAATTTATTCGCGTGATTTTTCTAAAGTGACCTCACATTAAAGACTACTATATAAAAGCTAAAATACAAAATATATACTCCTATGTTTTTTTTTTATTATTATTCTTTTGTAATTAAAAAAATGCTTTCAAATATGATAGTATCTATTTTATTTTATTTTTTCCAAATTCAAAGCATTATTGTAGTCTTTGATTGAATTTTAAATTACATTTCCCATTCCCTAGAAATTATAGTGCATTTTTGTGTTTTCTAAGTGTTATACTTTGATCATCAAATATAGTTTTAGAAAAATCAATTAACTCCAAATAAAAAGATATAATAGAAGTAATTGGGGTATTAAATATTAAGGAAAATGATAAACATACACCGATCTACGCGAATCGGGTAGAACACCAAAAAAAATATTTTATTCAAAAGTATATGTAATATAAAAAATTAAATAATGAAAAGGTAGTAGTAGATTTGGTGGAGACCATTAGAGGAAAGACATATACTCCATAATATTAAATTGGAGTACTTTGCCACAAAAATAAAATAAAATAAAATAAAATAAAAATTGTGTAACTTTAAATTGGAATGGTTGTTTTTAATTTGTTATCATTTTTTCCCCTTATGAAAATTACAATATTAATAGAATACACATTGTCACCTTGATATATTTTTTCCTAATAAATTAGCGTTCATAATCCGTATAAATTTAAGTTTAGTCAAATAAAAAAAATTAAGTTTAGGTTTTTCAGGTCAAATGAGATGAGATAAACATAAGTAAGGTGAAGTAAATCTACCTAGCCAATATTAGTGCGGCAAAAGAGAGGTGTTGTGCGGGGAGGAAATTGCTTTACTATAATTAGGCATCTTTATGTGGTATTGTAGTTAGATGATTTTTGGGGAAATGTAGATTGGAAATCATTGTTGACCACCTAATTGAATTAGCGGTTGGTGTTGGAAGATGATGCAATGCAAGAGAAGAAGAGTGCTTTAATTAATTTGCTTTGCCTTTGCCTTTGCCTTTAATTTGCTTGGCTTGTTTGTGTTATGCTATGCGACAGCGTTAATGGTATGCGTGGACACCATTATCAGGTGTATCGGGCCCGTATAGTCCTTTATCAATTATCACTAATTCGGTAATTCCATTACATTTCCAGGGTTTCTTTTGTTTAATTTTCTTTTTCACATTTTCAAACTCCTCCAATTCCCCCTCATCCTATCTAATTCTTTATTCCTAACCCTTTACAAATATTTTTCCCACTTTTTACAAGTTTCCCGATCCATATCTTTTAGCAATAACATTTTTAATTACCAAATTTTACTCCGTAATACATATTTTGAAACCACAGTTTATATGACAATTTAACAAGTTCCAACAATAGTATTCTCATATACTTCGTATATTAATAAAGGAAAAATAGTCATAATTAAAGTTTTTAATTTTGTATTATTTATGAATTATGTCAAATGGACTAATAAAAAGGAAATGAATAGGGTAATAAAGTAGTATATGTATAAATAAACTTTAGCTCCTATTAGTCCTATACTGTCAATCTTCTTTTTATTACAATTATTTAATATATAGTGTTATGTTATATAGATATTTGTAGATTTACCTACCTTATATAGTTATATGCAAATTTAGTTGACACACTTACCTTATATAGTTATATGTAAAAATTAGTTGACACACTTGAGAAACATACATCAACTCTTAATAAACAATGAAAGAATAACTTTACCCAATGCATGTCATTTGATTTAGGGACATGCATGTAACCTCCTAATCTTTTGCATGTAGGCGAATGTAGCCCAAACAATCCTCTTAATATATGTGAGAAGCCTATATATTTTTCCTTTCCACTATGGCCCCGTTTGATTTAATGTAAAACATTTTTAATGGAAAATTAGTTTTCATGAAAAACATATTTTCAAGAAAAAACACAATTACAAATTAGTTTTCCTTTGTTTGATTGCATACAAGAAAAGTCCAAGAAAAATAAAAAATAAGAGTGGAAATGTAAGAATGAATGAGGGGGAAGTAAAAAAAGGAGGTAAGGAAGAGAGAGGAAAATGTGGCTTCCCTTGTTTTGGGAAGGAAAATGGTTTCCATCATTAAGGATGGAATTTTCCACCCTTGGAAAAATTGTTTTCCACCCCTTAACAAGTCAAACAAAGGAAAATGGAAAAAAATGAAAAATTCATTTTCCACGAAAACCTTTTACATCAAACCAAACAGGGCCTATGATTAGCTTAGCTTCTCCTTGATTTTAACATTTACTATTTGCACAAATATTACAAAAACCGGAGAGGAAACGTAGATGTCGTTAGGTGTAAAAAAGAGGTAAGAGAGTGAGTCAATCAATCAAATTCTTAAACCCATATTCTCTGAGTGTAATTATATAATTGAATGGTTTAAGAAATAAGTAGATAAAGTAGACGAATGTGCCTGTAAAAAAATAATAAAATAAATAAAATAAATAAAATAAAAAATAAATAAAAAAAGATGTGAAGTAAAAAGTGTAAATATATAACTACATATTGTGGAGCAAAAACGACTGACATGTTAACAGGGTATTTAGAAACTAATTAGCATTTTGGCCCGTTCGATGCACGGGTTCATATTTAGGTTATTTCATATGTAGATATGTTTTTCAGTAGTTGAAACTTGTGATATGAAATACGAACTAATTGTTTCATTGCTAAAACTTAAAAGGAAAAAATGAATGAGGGTAGAACTGGGGAAAAAGATAAAAGAATTTAGTTACATATATATACATGAAGACTATAGGATATGAAATGACATATTGGTTTAAGTTATACTTTAAGTCTATTAGTTGAAAAGACAATTTTTATATAATTCAATTCATATGTTTATGTGATGTATATTAATTGGTTCAACTTTATTTTATTATGATGTAAATGAAACACTTCAGTTTCTTAATTGAATTTGCAAGTTACAGAATGTATAAAGACTTAAACTAAAAAATTAAAAGGGGTGACATGTGTCATGTGTGGTAGTGAGTGACTTGTGATGACATGTGTCATATGAAAAATTATGGTTTGTGTTTTTAAATACTAAGTATAAATATAGATATAGATTAACACAAAAAAGGATTAATATATAATAGAAATAGAGATATTATGTTTTGTTTCCTTAATTTGCTACCTTCGTATGTGTAGCCTTTAGCATGTCGTGATTCCTAGTATTACCCTATGAAATTCCTCAAATAATACTTCATTTGTACAGTTAATTCATGATATTTTAAAACTTCATTTGTACAGTTAATTCATGATATTTTAAAAGTAATGTTAGGCATATAGTATGTAACTAGCATATTGCCCGTGCGAAGCACGGTTTATAAATCAAACTATTAAACCCGTAGGAAAAATAAAAATAAAAACAAAGGTAATTCATTTACTATTGGTTACTAATGGTCAATAAAAAAAATTAAAGGAACGTTATTTGAATAGTATTTTATGTTATTTGAATTTCTTTTAATTTTTTATAATGTTATTTTATTAATTGAAAAATAATTGAATAATACACCACATAGCTATATAAGAAGTGGACTAATTTATTCATATCTCCCGTTGAGAAAAACTAAAATTTTCTTATCATACCATCCGCATCAGTAGCTACAATCAATCTAATATATACATGTTTTATTTACCCGTCGCACTCGTTAAATCTATAGACACAATATTAACCTTATATTTGACCTACCAGAACATATATTTTCCTAAGTTAAGCATTGTGCCAAAAACTATATATTATATAATAGTCATATATATAACCAACAGCTAATTAAATATAGTATACAACACAAATACTTCGTATATAGGTATGGATACTGATAATTTTATATAAGTAAAATATACGGAGTATATATTACTAAGATTTATCCCTACCTTAATTATAAAATGGTTAACAAAAATCTTATAATAGTGCATGGACATTTATATATCTTAAAATGTTCTTTTTACATATGTTTTCCCCCATTTAATTTTAAAAGCCTTAAAATTGTCTCTTTAATTCGCTAAATTGATTTAAAAGGTTATGTTTATTTCAATATTTAAAGCCATTTACTATTTTCATTTCCTTTTGTTTTAATTTTTCTATTTAGAATTTATTAGACTATTAGGTTTCAAGATCGAAGTCAATATCTTTTTACCGTACAATCACTAAATCAAAGTCGCTCAACTAAAGTTTTGGACATTGCATAATTACACAACATTCAACACATTTAATGATTACATGCAAATAATGTTAATAAAACTACGCATTCGATATAAGTTATTTAACAATTTAACTATATACACATTTTGATAGGTTTATATCTTTCATATTAACAAAAATTTACAAATGTTATTACCCTATGAAATTCCTCAAATAATACTTCATTTGTATATACAGTTAATTCATGATATTTTAAAAGTAATGTTAGGCATATAGTATGTAATGGGATAAGTTTTTTTTTTTTTTTTTTTTTGGTAAGAAATGGTATGGATTAAGTAAATAATTCTGATACTTTTCAATATAGAATGGACCATGATGTTGTTATGTGAAGAAGATCCATCTCATGAACATGAACGTGAACCATAATGTACCATGAATGGGGGATGTGGGGGGTGATTTTTTTTATATCGTTAATTTCAAAACTTTATCATTAAATTCATCAACACATATCATTATTTTTACACTAATATCTTAGTAGTAGTGTGTAGTTGGTGGTATAGTAGCTCATCAGGTTGCAATGGCATTAGCAATTACATTATCATATCAATATTATATACTAGGAAGTAGTGAAGTGCTACATGTACATCTATATGCGGAGAATCGACGAGCTGCTATATAATTAT